ACTTGTTTTTAAACATGCAATTTATACTATTATAAAACTGAAAACTGAGAAGAATGGTTATAGCAGCTATTGTTTCAAACTTAGAAGCAGTGACAGTAATGAAAACATCATACCAATGTCTAGTCTAATAAAACTCTTGGTTTACTGTGTTTTGTGTGGGCAACCAAATAAAGTAAAAATAGGGAAAAAAGAGAAGATGCATCATGTTGACCTAAACATGCTGTAAATCTATTGAACTTTTTTTGTAGAGCTAAGAAATTAATAGCAACTTAAAAAATGTCTAGGAATCCCAAGAAGTTCTATAGTTTATTACTTTCAAAAAAAAAGTAAGTACTTAAACCCATCACGAGCCTACTTTTAGGCTGAACAGCCAAGATACTGGATGTATTGTAGAATGAGAAATGGATCAATGGATCAAGATGATGGTATAAATTTTCGGTGGCATGCCCAAGCCATGAATGTAGGTAGAAAGCAATGTTGAATCTTATCAATTTATTTGGGCAGAAATGACACCTTCTAGATTAGAAAAATCTGTTTATTGATTTAAGCTTAATTTCATAGCTAGTAACACAAAATCAGACTGATCATAGAGCTCTCTGATGTATTCTGAATGTAAGCCTAAGGACTCTGTCACTATTTTACAGAAATATATTTCATCTCTACAATGGAGTGTCTGTGAAATACCAAAAGACTAAAACACTGTCAGACAGACTTAAATTTTTACCCTTAAATAGGGATGGTTATTTTAAAAGATGGACCTTTAAGATACCTGAATACCAACATTCACATCTAAAGGGGACAAAGCACTCTGATATTTGCAAATGTGAAATAAGCAGTCATGAATACACTTTTGGTAACCAAGTTGCTTCATTACTATCAACACATTTTTCTTATTAGTATTGATAAAGAAATAGTAGTAGGAGTAAAATATCCTTTTATGCTAAAGCTATGTGTAAACTTACTTATACAAATTGCTCTTCCATTACTTTGCATATTCCATAAAGAAATTATTGTAGAGACCTTTACCTTTGTTCTATCCTTTTCTTTCCATAACCTTCTGTTAACATACAATCAGCCAGGTGCCTTCCTGCATTAAATTATGGAGTGATAGGCAGTCTTCAGGCTTAGCTTAGTTAATATTACCTAGTCTTAAAATTTGATTTAGGCTTGATTTAGGCTTAATAACTGCACCTAATATTTCACTTATACTTGTGAATAATATAATTCTTTGACTAGTTACTCAGAATATCCATTATGAGAACTTTAAAAACATATTGAGAAAACCCCTAAAACAACATAGAATACATTTTGTACTTTTTTTTTTTAAGATTTTATTTATTTATTTTAGAGAGAGAGAGCGTTTGAGCAGGAGGGCCTGAGGCGGGGCTTGATCACATGATCTGGAGATCATGACCTGAGCTGAAATCAAGAGTCTGCCACTTGACCAACTGAACCACCCAGGTGTCCCTACATTTTGTGCTTTTTATCTACTAATCTTATGGTCCATTTTTACTAATAATGGTATTACTGATTACAAAGGAACTAAGAATAACAGTCCACAGTATTCTCCAGGACTTATAAAAAAAAAAATCATATGGGAAAATCATCTCTCCCAAAGCATTGTACTTTGTAGACCATGCATGTCAATACTAAACATCACCTTTTACACCCTAACACTGCTCTAGCCCCTTTCCAACTGGAACATGCAAAACTTATGACCTTGTATCCTCAATACATTAATGATCTATTGAACTAAGTTTTAACCCTTATAAAATCAATATACTTTTTTTAATTTATAGAAATGCAAATGTTGTCTAGGATAGCACTGTCCAAAAGAAATTTCTGTGGTGGAAATGTTCTGTATCTACACTGTCCAATAGGGTAGCCACTAACCACTGAGTCCTTCAAATGTGGCTAGTGGGACTAAAGGAACTGAATTTTTTTTTTTAAAAGATTTTATTTATTTATTTGACAGAGAGATAGAGAGAACAGGTAGGCAGAGAGGCAGGCAGAGGGAGAGGGAGAGGCAGGCTCCCCGCCGAGCAGGAAGCCCGATGCGGGGCTCGAACCCGGGGACCCTGGGATCATGACCCGAGCCGAAGGCAGCCGCTTAACCGACTGAGCCACCCAGGCGCCCCAAGGAACTGAATTTTTAATTGTATTTAATTCTAAGTAATTTATTTATTTTATTTTATTTAAAAAATTTTTAAAGGTTTTATTTATTTATTTGACAGAGAGACACACAGCGGGAGAGGGAACACAAGCAGGGTGAGTGGGGGATGGAGAAACAGGAGTCCTGCTGAGCAGGGAGCCTGAGTCGGGCTCGATGCGGGCTTGATGTGGGGCTCCATCCCAGGACCCTGGGATCATGACGTGAGCCGAAGGCAGATGCTTAACGACTGAGCCACCCAGGCACCCCTAATTCTAAGTAATTTAAATAGCCACATGTATTGGATTAGTACTGGTCTAGTAGACCCTTGAAACAGATGAGTGGTAGAACTGGAAAGTAGAATGTGGGCAATCAAGAAATCTTAAAATTATCAGCATTATGTTTTAAAAACTCTATCATTCATTCCTTCAGTATGAATTTATCCAGAAGGTTCACATAAAAAAAAAAAAAAAAAAGAAACCCAAAGCAACCAAATTCTTTAGGTTGCTTTTCTGTATGAATCATCTTTTTGCAAAGAGGTGTAAGACTGATTTTATTGCCAGCTCTGCCCCCTCTTCTACAGACAGAACTCAGTGATTAGGTTCTTGCATTTATTTAGGTTATTCTCCTAAAAAACATGGTTTCCATACTGCAAATAAATGACAGGAACTTTTCCACTAAATTATCCCAGACAGCACAAATGTTCTTTCCAAAAGTGGAGACTGGAACCACAGCCCCCTCACATTGCCTGCTACATCTGTTTATGCTTATAGAAGTGACATCCACTTTGTAGACAGAGAATGCCAATTTCTTGGGAAAGCACCCAGAATTTGGTGAGCTTGAAGAAAAAACTTCACCGTTCAAGATAAATGATACTTAGAATTGAGTAGCTACAAAGGCCTTTTGAAATTAAGTGAGAAGAGATTTTGCTCCTAGAGTATAGATTCTGTATACAGACTTGCTGGAGTTCATATCTAACTATAATCATTTACTAGTTGATAACGCTATGGGTAAGTTAAAAAACCTAAACCTCAGTTTTCCCATCTGGGAAATGCAGATAATAATAGTTCTGTTGGGAAAACTTGTTTAAGACTTTGAAGTGGGCAAATATCACTGGGTGTCCTTTCAATGGAAGGCTGGATGTTATCTACAGGACTCTGTTTTTTTTGGTTCTACAGGAGTCTGCACCTTTGACCTTTGACAAGGCCATTTTACTATTTCATAGGCTGTAGAAATTAATGAAAATGTAAATGTTCTTATCTATAGAAATGCAAAATTACTTTGTTTTTTAGAGATACCATTACTTCCCTGTAGAAGAGATAATTCAAAACATTTCATTTTTGCGCCTTATAGAATATTAAGCAGTTCTGCCTCTTTACTGATTGTCCATAAGGTCTGCTTTTCACATCCTTGTTGGAATGGGTTGTAACAATTTGCGATTCGCTCCCTAATTAATCAGTCAAATGATATTTGACACATTTTTATTTTATATTTCTATGAGAGTTACGGTTTTCCCTTCTTGAAAAATGATCCTTTAGTCATTTCTGCCCTGTGGAGTCTTTGGGAGGATTGGTTTAAAGGTCCACATTGACTGTCATGACCAGTTTTATATTTTGCCGCAAGGCTGTAACACTTGTGGTGTCTTTTTGGGGAGGGGAGCAAGGGGGATTGAGCAGTGATAAAAGGGGGAAGGTGGGGGTCTGAAAAACTCCATCCTGACGCAAAAGTCAGAAGAACTCCTCATCTTTTTCCTTTTAACAGTGGAGACTTGAGGTCAAGGTGGGTGTTAGGCGGGGCACAGTGGCCTAAGTGTTGGCCTTCCGGGCCTGGAGAGTGGCCTGGGGGTTTAGATGCCCTGGGGTCATGAAGTTCACTGCAGACTTTGTGGGGGCCCAGCAGCGAGCCAATCGCTACCCCAGTTCCCGCCGAACCAACCCCCGGAGCAGCAAGGCGGCCGGGTCCCCGAAGGGCAGGCCTTGCCCCAGGCCGGGGAGGCCCGTAGCCCACGGCCGGGGGTGGGGCGGCCTCGCCGCGGGCCGGTGCTTTTCGCCCTCCGTTGGCCGCCAGAGGCTCCCTCTCTCTCTCCCTCTCCTGGGATTTTGCTGCCGGGCTCCCTCTCTCTGCGGCCCTAGAGTTAATCCCATCAGCCGAGGTGAGGCACCTGTTACCCTGGGCCTTCCTCACCCGCGCGGCCTCTCCCCCACTACACCGCGGCTCCCGGGCGGCCCAACCGGCCCGGCGCGGGGGGCCGCACGTGGGCCAAGCCCCTTCCGCGCCGGGACCCCCCGCCCCAGGCCGGCCCGCGTGTGCGAGCGTGTCGCGGCCCGGGCCGCCGCCCGCCCGCCCGGCCGCCCGCAATGGCGTTGGGCAGCGCCGCGCGCCTCCCGGGGCCGCCCGCCGCCGGCTGGCCGCGCGTGGGGGCCGCGGCGCGAGTGGAAGCGGCCGCCGCAGCCGCCCTCCGCGCTGCGCCGTGAGCGGCGGGTGGAGGGGCGCCGAGCCGGCCGGCGCGGAGAGAGCCGCGGCCACCGTGGGGCGGGGGGCGCCTCTGAGGAAGGGGGGGTGGGAGCCGCGGCCGCCCGACCCTCCCCGCCGGCGGCGGCTCCCGCTCGGTAAGGGGGAGGCAGTGCGCGGGGCGAGGAGTTGGGGAGGGTGGCGATGAAGAGGAAAAACATCGGGACGTACAAAGGCTGAGTTGCAGGCTGGGGGTGGGGGTGGGTTGTGGTTGGGGAGCGATAGGGCGAGGATCGGAGGCATTATCAGTGGGATCTATTGTTTCCTGGCACGTTGGGAGGAAAAACAAAGGGATTTATTATCATTACCCTGCAATTTTTTTCCTTTTTCTTTTTTTTAATGTGGCCAGGGAGCTCGGCTTTCCCCGTGCCACACGGGGATCCGCCTGGCAGCCGCCGGGAGCCGCAGCCAATGTGTTAGGACTTCAGGTGCTTTTTGGCACAAAGCTAGACTGCGACCTCCTACCATAGCGCTTGGCGTCACCTGCTTTCCCGGCCCTGCCCCGGGGCCGAGGGATTGCGTCCCGAACCAGGCTTGGGAACCGGCTGCCTCTCAAGTTGGTGTTATTTATGTTTGTCTTTTGTGAGGGCAGGTTTTGAGTCCCCCGGCGGCCCCATCGCCCCCGCCCCCGCCCCCCGCGGGTTCGAATTGGCCGGGGGAGGGAGTGGGGCGGCTGTGTAGGGGGGAGGGGAGGGTGTGTAAGGCTTCAGCAAATGTCAGGGGACAAGGCGATTGTCGATGCTTTACCAAAAAACAGGCACCACACTCTCAAGCCTTTCTTGTTTGTCTGCATGGGCCATGCATGCGTGCTGGGCCAGAAGCCGAGTTCGGAGGCGGTTTAAGTCGAAGATTGTGCGTGAGGGTGATGTGGCTCGGCCTAATATTAAAAGACAAAACAAAGCAAAAAACAAAATGAAAAATCTTTAGGACTACATTGTCTGCGCCTCAGCAGATCTTGAAATATTTGATTAATGGCATATTGATATAAAATCCAGCTGTGGGCTAGTGGAGACCAGCGAGCATGTATTGCGTTGCGTTTTGAGCTCCTAGTAAGAGGCAAGTGGGAGTAAACAAATCAGGACTATGAAAAGAGGTTTCATGTGATACTTGCTTTCTGATCGTCACGTTCTCCTGCATTTATTCCCATGATAGTCTACATCTCACTCTATAATTAATAGTATCCACTCTTAGGAAACTTCCAGGTATTAGATGTGAGTGCACTTAGAGTGAAACTTATTTTCATTTAAGAACTTTCTTCTGCTTGTTTTGGTCTGAAAATGTACTAATGTTGCTTTGGGAATGCTGTAAATGAGAATATTGGACCAGAGAGAGTTAAGCCTCTGTAGGCATCTTTGGACTTTGGAAACATAGAATCCAAACTTTTAATTGTGCTTATACAGAAAGAATAAATTCTACCTGATGTGGAGCATCCCAAATGAAATTCATTTTTTTCTGAACAGTTTGATGATATCTTAAAGATCTGTGAACTGCTGGTTTCTTTGAAGGTCATTCACAAAAGCAACAGAAACTTAGGCTAACGTAGTGTACTTGTACTTATGTGTGACTTGTGTATTAGTGTGTGATTTCTCTAGGGGTCTCCAAATTGTGTTTGAAACATTTTTGTTACCCAAGACCAATCAGAGGTATAACTTGGCTTTTAAATTCCCATTCCAATAAGTAATTTTTTTTTTCTGTTTGACATATGGCTAAGCCACTTTCAAAAGTGTATTATTAATTGATGAAACTTAAGTTCAAATAAGTAAATGAATTTAGAAATTCATTCTTTTCTATTACAGATGAACCTCTAGTCTTGCTTTGAAAAAGCCATTTTGTGTAACTCTTGACTGAATAATTTCCTAATACACCTGTTGGGAGGATCACTGATACAGTATGCCATTTGAGAGGTACTTTTTCTTGACCAAATACTGGTGATTAGAGAAGAGAGGTGTTTTGTTTTTGTTTTTTGTTTTTTTGGTTTTTTTTTTCCTGATCATTATGAACACTGGCTTTTCACCCCTGAAGTAAAAATGTTGAAAACCGAGTCTTCAGGTGAACGAACCACTCTCAGAAGTGCCTCTCCTCACAGGAATGCTTATAGAACTGAGTTCCAGGCACTGAAAAGTACCTTTGACAAACCCAAGTCAGATGGGGAACAAAAAACAAAAGAAGGTGAGGGCTCCCAGCAGAGCAGGGGGAGGAAATATGGCTCCAACGTCAACAGAATTAAAAATCTATTCATGCAGATGGGTATGGAACCCAATGAAAATGCTGCAGTCATTGCCAAAACAAGGGGGAAAGGTGGACCTTCGTCTCCGCAGAGAAGAATGAGGCCCAAAGAATTTCTGGAAAAAACAGATGGCTCAGTTGTCAAGTTGGAGTCCTCCGTTTCAGAACGAATCAGTAGATTTGACACAATGTACGATGGCCCTTCATATTCTAAGTTCACAGAAACTCGGAAGATGTTTGAGAGAAGTGGGCATGAATCAGGACAAAACAACCGCTATTCCCCAAAGAGAGAGAAACCTGGAGGGAGTGAACCTCAGGATGAATGGGGTGGCTCGAAGTCCAACAGAGGCAGTACCGATTCCTTGGACAGCCTTAGCTCCCGGACAGAGGCTGTCTCCCCAACTGTGAGTCAACTGAGTGCAGTATTTGAGAACACCGATTCCCCCAGTGCCATTGTTTCTGAGAAGGCAGAGAACAACGACTACTCTGTGACTGGGCATTATCCCCTGAATCTACCATCTGTTACTGTTACAAATCTTGACACCTTTGGTCACCTTAAGGATTCTAATTCTTGGGCTCCTCCAAGCAAACACGGTGATGATGCAGAGGATGCTCAGAAGGGTCATACAACTCCAGTACCAGAAGTGGCTTTGAAAAGTACCTCTCTAGCCCCAGTGCCCAGTGAAGAGACACAGCAGAGCAAGGACGCCGAGGACTCCACATCTAACCAAGAGACTCCTGTCGGGATTGACAGAGACATTCCTGAAGAACCTTGTGCTGAAAATAAGGCAATGCCAGAGTCAGAAATCCCTTCACCACAGAATGAACCTTTAGAAGACGCCGAAGCTAATTTAGTTGGGAGTGAGGCAGCAATGCATCAGAAGAAAGACCTTGCAGGTGGTGATTTTACCTCTGCTGCTGCTTCTGGATCCAGGTGTGGAAAGGAAGTACCTGAAGATTCAGATCATTTTGAGAGTACCCATGTTTACATGCACAGTGACTATAATGTATACAGGGTAAGATCCAGGTATAATTCAGACTGGGGAGAGACAGGCACTGAGCAGGATGAGCAGGAAGAGAGTGATGAAAACAATTATTATCAACCTGATATGGAATACTCGGAAATTGTTGGATTGCCAGAAGAAGAAGACATCCCAGCAAATAGGAAAATTAAGTTTAGTAGTGCTCCAATTAAGGTAAGTATGTTTTCTCAGTTTGCTTTTGAAGTTTTTTCTAAGTTTTTTTTTTTTTTTTTTTCTTAGTATTTGGGCCTAAATGTATGTAGAATAGATTTGACAACTATAAGGAATTCACGGTTGTTGATATACACATGTTGTCAAGTGATTTTAGAAGTTTCGGAGGTGTCCACGTATTTCCTAATATGCTTTATGGTTGCTTAAACCAGTATTGACTAATAGTAAAGTTGAAGAAGTTTGGGGATTGTGAGATACATTCCATTGGACTGGAGTATGAATAATATGAACACTGAAAACCAGGAGTGTTAGTTTGAAATAGAATTACCTCTTTAACTAGTTTCACTAAAAGTCCCCATAAGTAATAAAATTTTCTGAATCTGGACACTCTAGGTTATGAGGCATAATGTATAATGAGAGAGGTATGGTTGACCTTGAAATAATAGTCTTTATTTAATTGCTTAAAAAATCCGAGTTCTCTCTTACTTAAGTGTAAGTGGATTGTGAAGAATGTAGGAACTTAACTTTTTTTCTTTTTTGTATTGCTACTTAGTAGTGAAAGTTTGATTCATGGAAATGTCTTAGCGGACTTAAATACTTTAATTGGAAAGCTGTGACTGTGAGTAGCTTTGAGTTCAGAATTTGTGATGTAGTCCTGAAATGAAATTTTATGAAAGGAAATTAAATTGATTTGGCATTCACATATATGTTTTGACCTCTTAAAAGCTGGATAAATGCCATTTGAATTCAGATGCTCTATTCTGATGACTTCATTTAGTTAACATTTGGTGTAGAAGAAATAACACAATGTACATCAGTGGCGGGTGGTGAAACATTATTAGCTGATAATGGCGGGAGGGGCAGGAGGTGGTGGGTTGAGTATCACAGTCTCCTGGAGTGATTTTTCAAAGTGTACTTGCCCATCAGCCTCTGTCCTAAGATCTGGCATGCCCTTCTAGGGGAATCTGAAGGGTTGTGGTGGTAGAATGTGTAGTTGGAAACCACTTTCTAGGGACTCCTAGCTTGTCCAGTGTGTATATATGATAGACTTGGAATTTGATATGGTATCTTTTAAAAGAATCTGAAATCACTGTCTATTGTTATTTCCATCTTTTGAAACTTCCATATAAGGCTGTAAGAGAGATAATTTACAAAGCAAAGAGAAATTTGACTTTGCTTTAATTATGAAATACTAATTTGAAATAAAGTAATAATCTATGAAATTATTTTAGGTGTTAGTAGGCAGACTTTCATTTCATTAGTGTAAGACAAAAGTTCTGGATCAGAATGGGCCATGCCAAGTTACACTATGTTTAAAATAACTAGAGATGTGAGTGTGGTTTCTGAGTAAGCTAAGTTTCTTTGCTGTGTTTTCCCACTTTACTTTGTGAACCTTTCCCCTCTATTCCCCTCCACCCCCACCCCCCATTCTTAGGCTCTCTCTTTAGAGGTGTCTTTCCTTCAGGCCTGCCCAGAGAGCTCCTTAATTTCACCATGCATGTTCCCTGTCCAAGTGCTTTCCTTTGAACATCATCTTTCTACCCCTTAGGAAGAAAGCAATAAGATTAAATTGTTTCACATTGAGCAAGGCAGGAATAACTGAAATGAACTCTTCAAGGAGTTTGTTAAAACCAGTGACTAACTCCCTAATGGGGGAATAGCAGCTTACAAAAATTTATCAAGTAGAACACTACCCACTCAACCAAATGGGGCACCAGCCTTGTATTTGGGTCCCGTGCTGCACAAAATATAACGCACGGTGTTGGGTTTAATGCATTTTAAAGGATTTCTCATTGAAATATGGCTGTTCATTGGTGAACAAACCAGGTTTGGAGTATGATATTCTGAAATTCAAGTGATTTTTTTTCCTGCTATTGCTTATAACAAAAAGCATTTTGCCTTTTAATTTTCATATAATAAACTATTTTATATAATAAAGAATGAAATAGAGTACATACATATAAGTTGTAACACATTTTATCAAGAACATCAAGCATAAGGTTTGTGAAACAAAGATAATGCACCAGGTTTTATGGGCAGTTAACAGTACTAGTTAGAGTGGATTAAGTTTGCAAACAGAAGATTCATTCTTAGCCCTTTGTAATGAATAAGACAATTACTCTTTCTTGTTCTCATTGTTTAACATGTAAGTGGATTCACTTGGAAATTTTGAGAACTACTTTTCTACTGGTGCTGGTGATGGTAGTGTTTAGATTATTCTCCAATGAGGATTTTTGCCTCAGAGGGTGGTAATAATGAAATTCAGCAAGTATTTATTGAAAGCTTATCATGTGTCTGTGCTCATGCTGTTAGATGTAGAAGACACAAATCTATAATATTACCTCTTTCCTGTGTGAGCTGATGAAGTCAGTTCTTCAACAGTTGGTATTTAAAACCCATGTAAAAAGTCTGAAAACCTGTGCTGAAAAGTCTAATGTCCTCTGAGGACTGTAACTGTCCTTGGCCGTGCTAAATGCATGGATTGAATAGGATTTGATAGACCATTTGGAAGGGAATATGCTGAGCCATTCCCTATGTATGTTTTCTTATTCTTTTTGTAGAGATTCCCTTGTGGAATGGGAGATTATGATTTCCAACCTGAATCTTTTCTTTTGAAATTTAAACATATCCCTCTTTCAGCAACCATAGGTTACATACTCTTTATAGAAATGATCTCTAGAACTTTTATATTCTTTTCCTGATATTCTCACCTTATTCTTCACTAGAGTAAATATTCTCAACACTTTTAGACTTTCGTTTTACATCTTGTTTATGATCTTTGTGTGTGTGTGATCATTTCCTCAGTTTTTATTTCAGTTCTTCTGTAGATGTTTTAAATAGATACTTTCCTAAGATGTCTTAAATCTGGACCTAGAAAAGCATCAAAATGATATCTGATCTTTCCTGTGTAGCATATTACTTATACATAATTGTTGCTGACATTTAGAAATGGATTGTTTCTTAGTGGATAGATTGACATGTTTCACAGTGTTGTGGAAAATTAGACTGGAATTGATTAATAATGGAAAATATAAAATCCAAGTTTGAGATACGGAATGAGAGAGTGTTATGAACCATGCTAATCTGAGATCTGGAATTAGCCTTCATTCTCAGGAATTTCTCAAAACCAAGAGATTGAATTAATTAGATTTGCTTTAAATGAATCCAGGCGAGAAGGGGTGATATTTTTCATTATTGTTTTCTATTAATTTGGAACATTTACTGAGCCCTTACTATGTGTGGGGAACAGTGCAATATACAATAAAATGTAATAAATACATAAAATGACTGGAGCCGATCAGGTCAGGAACTGCTGGGAGGTGGGGAGTGGATAGCCCGTTAAGGATGCTTCTCAGGCTATTCTGCTGAACTGTTCTTGGATTCTCTTTCTAAGGTCCCTGTAACCTTTTTAAGGCAGTCATAACCCTTTCTCTGTTTCTGGGACCCTTATGTCCTTTGGATAGATGTTCTTGAAACATAGCATAGAAGAAAAAGGGTATTTTCCTAATTCCCTTAGCAAGAAGGGGATTGCAGGGTTGATGTTAAGTTATGTTCTGCTGTATTTTTCTGAGTGTTTTCTCCAACTGTATGGAGCTTTACAGAGCTGGGGTTCAAAGGAGAATCACCAAGGGCAGCAGTGCTTCTCTAAATCTTACATGATACTTGTTGAAAGTGGGTCCCTTAGCATTCTCTTTCTCTTTTGGGGCTCTGAGTTGGTACACAGGGCATATATGAGACCTTTTATTCGGGATGGTGTTCAGAGTATAGTTCTGAGATCCAAATTTCTGTCGTTCTCTTTCTTCAGATAGTCTTGCTCAGTGCTCTTAAACTTTAATATGCTCATGAATCACCTGGGGATCTTTTAAAATGCAGATTTCTGATTCAGTAGGTATTTTGGGGGAAATCACCTTGATGCAAAGGTTAGCCTCCAAGTAGACCATCGGCTTTCCCACGGGTTATGGAATAGGCTCAGCAAGTTAAATGTTTGAATCACAGTATTTATCAAATCAGTTTAAACAGCCAGAAGCAAGAGGAAAGCCATGGGGAAAGTTAACACAGCTAAGGTGCAAAGGTTGGAAGGACCACACGACCTACGACCTGAGGCCCGGGTATGCGATATTCCTATGTCCCGACCTTCTCGCTTTCACATCACCCTTCCCATTGAGGGTGCGGTTATGAGGACCACAGCTGATTTTGAGCAAGGGCTCCAGATACTAATAATCCCCTCAGCTCATGATATCATGGTATTTGCTCTACAGACGAGAGAGGGTACAAGTACACTTACATACAGCTGTAGCTTTGCCAGTTTCCCTGGGTTTTCTTTGTGTTTGTTGGGACAGGCACCGGCGGGTCTGGAGTAAGACCAGGCTGGGCGTCCTCGGTGGGTGGCTGATACAGAGATGGCGTGTCTGGCAGTCCGGAGATGGCACGATGATGACTTGGTCATTCCATCCTTTTCTTTTCTACAAGTGAACCTCTTGTTTGTTCCATCATATTTTCTATTTTGGAATGTCTTACAGCTTACTAACTTACCTATTTTTAACATATCTTAAGAACTTGGCCTTCGTTTTAGAAGCTTATAAGTTCTTATTATCTATATCTAATTGAGCCTCGGAGTGTTGCCTTTACCTCCTAAGCTGTTAGCTTACTTACCATTACTGACCATCACTTACGAGTTTCATCCATTCATTTGTTTTCTTGACCTTTATAACAGAATTTAATATTCTTCAATAATAGAGCAGATTCACAAACAGTAGGTCTCAGGTGAGATCGTGTATTCCTAAAAAGATCTCAAGTGGGTGCTGAGGCTGCTGGTCAACAGATCACTGTTTGGAATATGATTGTGAAGTACAGTTTTCTCACTTCTGAAAGGAGCTGGTCACAAAATGTTGGGGAAGCTCCTTTAACACGTTCTTTCCAGATTGGTCTTCTGTAGCTGGTTGTGTGGCATTGTGTTCTTGGAAGCTGACACAGGTGTAAAGTTGTAATGTGCATGATGGTTG